TGAATATAGTCAACATTGTGTACCACGATTGACTATTGTGCATTACATTCCCTGGCGAAGCAATTATTGCCAGTACAGTTGATGGACTTAATGCCTGTTCTCACAACACGCGTATAATTAAATTTATCTGTGCTTATTTTGATTGGTTTCCACTTAATCAATCTGTATCCAGCAGAAGTAATGGCGAGTGAATGTAGATCTCCGAGTGCTTCTGAAAGATTTATTAACCAGTTAGCCGTCTTTCGCGAATATAATCGTCATGAAGGAACGGCGAGGTTTTGTGGTATGACGAATATATTCGTCATGAAGAAATTGTGAGGTTTTGTGGTATGACGAGTAGACTCGTTATGAAGAGTTGGCAAGGTTTTGTCGAGTATACTCGTTATGAAGAGATGGCAAGATTTTATCGAGTATGTTTGTCATGAAGAATTAGCAAGGATCTATCGATTATACTCGGCATGAAAAGATAACAAGGTTCCATCGAGTATACTCGTCATGAAGAGATGGCAAGATTTTCTGTTACGACAAGTATACTAATCACGTCGAAGTGTTTTGTCGAGTATACTCGTCATGAAGAGACGGCAAGGTTTTTTGATACGACGAGTATACCGGTCACGTCGGAAAGGCAATGTTTTGTCGAGTGTACTCGTCACGTCGAAATCTCAAGGTTTTCTGTTATGGCAAGTATACTCGCCTAAAAGCAGCTAATTGATTAAGGGAATATTCACTTTCCAAGCAACCAATTTTATAGGTATACATTACTTGAATCAAAATTGTTGAAAAAATTAATTGCAGAAATGAACTAATATTCATACTAGAAATAAGATGTACACTTTTCAAAGAAATTGCAACAGCTAATTAGTTAAGCCTGACCACGACTGTAACTAGTTACAGAACAAAAGAGAACAAGTTAAACGATAAATTTTTCTACTGCGAACAGAAAGAAAAGGAAGAATAGAAACTGAAAAACCAATTAATCGGACAATATAGAAATTAATATAAAATTCAATGAATAAAAGAAAAGCAGAATTTTAAGTCCGACCATTTGACCGGTTCCCCGTTCGGTTAGTATTGACATAAAATCTACCAAACATTTTATATGATTAATATGTAATCCCTATAAAAATTCTAACAATAGATTATTCTCAGTGTCTTGAAATACTCGTTACAGTATTCAAGTGAAAATACTAATTTTCAAAATCATTTCAAATATTCAACGTTTTCAAGGTATCAATAATTACGAAATAAGAAACCGAAACCAGTCGTTTCGACTAACACGGTAGCTTCAGTGTTAACGCTACTGAAGGGTTGAAAACTGTAAAAAACCTTCCTGACGTCCACAGAATAAAAAAAACACAATATATCCGGTATCCTTCAAAAGGTTCAAGCAAGACAGACCAGTCCGCCTCCTAAAATAGTCCGTTCGCCGGCCTGAAGTGCCCGCGACTGTTCAGACCACGTGTCTCTGAACCCGTCCTAAGGTTACGACCTCACCTGACGGGTGTTGTACCGGGCATACATCGCCGGGGAGCCTCCGCCGAAGGGAACCGGTATTAAAGTCAATGAGAACTGGTTCGTGAAGAGAATATGATGTCACTTTCGTCGCGAGGCGGCTCGCCAGAAAATAATAAACAGGGGCCACGCGCTGCGAATGGTAATTGAGGATTAGATACGATTCCGGTGCACGATCCCTCCCCCATTTTTCTTGCGGAGAGGCTCTCGAGTTACTTCGAGGCGCGTACGTAAGTATGTATACTTGTCTCGCATTTTCCTTGGCCTTATTCCCGTTCCATCGCGATACATGCGTGTTCTCTTTGCCGATGTAAGGACAGTCATCAAGGTCCCAACGCCACGGTGGATTTCCGGACGAAATGGGACGGGAATAGGGAAGGAAAATTATTTTGAAAGTGGGGAATTCGAAGGCAGTTTGATTTATTGTGGTCTGGGTTTTATGCAGGATAGAAAGAATGAATTGTTTTGAAGATGGAGAATTTTTCTGTAATTTAATTTATTATAGGTTGGGTTTTATGTAGGATAGAAAGAATGAATTGTTTTGAAGATGGAGAATTTTTATGTAATTTAATTTATTATAGGTTGGGTTTTATGCAGGATAGGAAGAAAGAATTGTTTTGAAAATGGAGCATTTCAATGTAGTTTGATTTCTTGTGGGCTGGGATAGGTATGGGTTTTAGTCAGAAATAGCAAAGGAAGATTGTTTTAAAAATGGAAAATTTTTATGTAATTTGATATATTATGGCCTGGGTTGGATCTGAGTTTTAATGAAAAATAGAAAAAGAAATTGCTGTAAATATGATCTGGGTTTAAATCGGGAATAGAAAAGAAAATTATTCGAAAAATAGAAAATTTTTATGTAGTTAGATTCATTATGATCTGAGTTAGGTCTGGGCTTTAATCAGAAATAAAAAAAGAAGATTGCTTTAGAAATAGAAAAATTGTGTCTAATTATTAAACTGGGTTCTAATCAGAAAGAGGAAAGAAGAATCAGTTCACAGCAAGCAGAGTCGTTGGAACACTTCATGCCATTTTCCTTTCTACAAATGAAAATCTCGAGTTTCTACCGTCCAATTATCAGGCTCGTGAATCGCACTAAGCTCGTCCGGGAACGCTCTTCCGCGGCGAATCGGCTCGGGACACACTGGATATTCGAAAAACAAACGAAAGCGATTGCGTAAGCATCTCCTTTTCGTTCTTCATTGCCGTTCTCCGTTCAACGAACCGCGATAACAAACTTGCAGAGTTCATTCACTTTTACCCTATGAATTCCAGTTGGTCGAGGTATATAGCCTTCTTCAATTCCTGTATTCACTTTCTCCATAAGCAACCAATAAAAATAATATCCAATCTCAAAAATATAAATTCAAATTTTCTACATGTTAAAGTTAATATTATATCAGTAGCACAGATGATTTATGCCGCCAGTGACATAGTTAGTCTACAACACAAAGCGGCACGAATTATTTGTGCACAGGAGAAAATGGAAATTAATGCCATTTACTTTTACCCTGCGAATCCCTCTCAGTTAAAATATATATTCTTGTCCGCTATCAAAATTCACCCTCGCCACAAGCTACCAATCAAATAACAGCATCCAATCCGAAAAGTATAAATTCAAATTTGTAATATTTCAAAGTTCATGTTTTACCAGTAGCACGGATAGTTCGTGCCGCCAGTAACACGTACGGTACATGGGAGCAAACGGCACGAATCATTTGGGCACACAAGCAAATGAAAATTAATACCCCAAGGCGAGTCGGCTTTGGAAACGTAATCGAGGCAGGTTATATCGAGTCACAGCTGTTCACCTCAGTCGCCATAATCCATTCCCTGACTTTCCTCGTTGTACAGTTACTTCAGGGTGAAAGGTGAACCCGTGTACCTCATCCCCCCTTCTCGCCCCTTTCCCTTCGTGATAGATACTGGAGGAGGATCCGCGGCGCAGTGCTCGTCAAAGGTGATTACACCACCATCGAGAGCCTTAGCTTCATTCTGCTTCGCCTTTCGAGAATGGATGTATCATAGGAACGATTTAGTGATCGCATAAATGTCTCAATGATTTCGTTTGAGAAACAGTAACTTAGAGGATCGTTAAATTCAGGAAAAATATGCTTATGATTTATAAGTTGTGTAGGGATGTATCTATAACTTTCGCAACGTTGGGTATTCTGCGCGATGAGTATGGTAGAAGTAATGTTAAATTAGATTTTCAAATGATAAAAACTGTAGACAAGATTTATTTATGTTTGGTAGCTTATGGCGATGATGTGTACTTTAAATGGAACTTTCGACAGATTCTTAAGTAATCTTCTTATTAGTCAAGGAGAGTTATAATGGATGTTATGATTAAATCTGATAATTTTATAGAAGATAGAAGTGAAAATTAAATTAATGTGTTTAATCTAGATACTGAACTTTATTTAGAATAATTACACATGGTTTTGTGACAGTCCATAGAAACTTAGTCACACAAAATGATATATATTGATAGATTATACATTATCCATAGTATTTTTTTTATATCCGCAACCTCAACTAAAAATTTCTATTATATATTATAATATATAATAAATAACTATATATTACAGCATAAACAATAAAGCTGTATATTATTAAAAATCAATATTATACCTTATATATGGTAATACGTATTAAATAATTATGTATGTAACGTGTCGAAATTTTAACTTAAAATCATTTTCTCAGCTTAACCGTTTTTGCTCAATTGAATTTCTGACGTTCAGTAGAGTTAATTTTATAATCGTTATTGGAAAAATCGAAAAGTTAATTTAGAATATACGACTAAGCTTGGAAAAGAATTTTTAATTCAAAATTCAAAAGCTGTCTTTTGACACCTTCGATAGGAGTAGTGCCAAAAATTAATACAATTTAAAAAATTGATAAATCTAAACTACAAATACACAATTCAAACAAAACAAATGATCACCTATTATAAATTTTAATATTACAACATATATAAATTCTAAATTCAACAGACAATTCCACAAAAATAACAGTTGAATACTAATAATTTTAATGAATTATTTCAATCTATTAACCGTAGAATTCAGTTTCAAAAATCTGTCGTTTCGCGCGCAATAAAATCGAAAAATGAGAGTACATTTCAATGGAAAAGCAAATCAAAACAAACAAGCACTACACGTTTATCAACAAAAACAAAGAACTTGTCGTAGAAAGAATGATTATCATTCCAAGCTTTAAGATGACGTGCACACTCGCCAAACACACTTAACTGTTGAAATAAAATACAGAAAAATTCAATCCTTCCGTGGAAAAGTTTATAAGTCATTTTAAATATAGAAACCGATCTGGCTCACGCCGATCAGAACTCGAATCTGTCCGCACGGCGAACGGTATTATTCGCGCAAGAACAATTCGATCATGATTCAGAGTGCAGAGCGTGGGCGTACCGCGGATAATCGGATCGAGAAGGGATGGAGGGCCGCGGATCTCGAAGTGAAAGTCTTGAATCGGCGTTTAGTCGCGCCGCGACCACGGTCTTGAGCGGATTCGATCGCAAACAATCAACGACTATCGCTCTACAATCATTTCGAATTTACAAAGAATCAGTTCCATCGTTACTTTACAAATATCGTATCAGACTCGCGTGAAAATGAATAAATGGTGCAGTGAACACGTGATCCTAATGGATTAACGATCTACGGTGATCTATGGAATAGCGAGGATCGACCAGAAGCAAGGTGCAGTTTTTTAACGATTATTTAGGATCATAAAGGCTCTTAGAAATTCATTTAAAAAGTTATGATTTAGAAGGATGTACAGTTTGCGAAGATTTGAAAATGTATTTGTAAAGTTAATGTAAATTACAAAATTATTCTATCGACACTACCGAGTTGAATTGGATTTTTGAAGTGTATAGAAAATCGAAGATTGAATCCATTGAGACTGCAGTTGATTTACTGTTCTCAGTTTGTGTATTGGTAAATCGAATTCTTTAATAATTTATTTGAGGAACGTATGGCATTTTATTAATAATTGGAGAAAGGCATCGGGAATGGGTCATTTTGACGTGCCTGGTAGTTTCAGTGTTAGAAATAATAATGAAGATAATATAATTGATCGTTTTTAGTAAAAATAATATTGAGAACAATATGTGTTATTTTTTGTATAGATCATGTTAACAGTAGTAGTTTTTCTGCCTTTGATGGGATTTATTGGGGTACGAGCTATCGATCGGTTACGACGTATCGAAATATCTCGGATAATTCTCAATTACGAATTGCACAAGATTGTTTTAACGACTTGATCGGGGCTAATTGTACGATTATCTTTACAGTATCGGTAATTCCATTTAATTGTTACTTCATTTTTCATTCTGTGTCTGGTATCTCTGTGAGGATTGAGGGTAATGACTATGGGTATACATTAAGGATATCCGTGTACCAGATATGGAGTTCATCGATTACGACAATTGCAGAGAAGGAAAGGAAGCATTGTTTTAAGTGGAATTGTCTCTTCCGAGAGAGAAATTGTCGGCGCAGTAGATTTATCCGTGCGAGTCAGACAAAGTGTTCCGATAGCTCGAGAAATTTTTCTTGTTCGTAATTTTCCTGCGTTCTAATTTCTTAAGAAATGAAATCAGATTTTAGGTGAAAAACGATTTTACATATTATTTATATTTACTTTATTACTATATCGTTGTCTTAAAAAATGAAAACATATTTAAGATCAGATACAGTGGTAAAATTTTTATTTTAATATACAATTTATTTATTCTTTTGCTCACGTTCAATTTTACAATATTTTCGTGTTAAAAAATGGAAAAAAGTTTTGTATCAGACACAATTTTATATGCAAATAAATTTTCTGTTTTCAAATAGAATTTATTCTGTAAGTGAATAATGTATTTAGACGAGACAAATTTGACTGTTATAGTAAAATACGATTAAAGAAGAACAGTAAAATGTCAATTTAACATTGGTCAATTGAGTCAAACAATTTAATGGCTAAATAAATAGGAAAGTAAGGAGATCCAGTGGATTGGTACTAAATATTTAAATAATAAATTAGAGCTTTTTTGATAGCAAAAACATATTTCTGTTTTATCGAGATAAATGAAAATTGCAAACCTAACGAATTTAATTAAAGGATTGGACACAGGATCGAGCTCGAACAAATTTAACTGACCGGCTTAGAATATCGTGCCAGTCTCAGAAAACATCAAACGGAATTTAATGAATGTTGATGTATAATACAAGGCAGTTAATGGGTTTCTTAAAATCTGCTCGCTGAAAAAGGAGACTAATCAATTTCCATCAAACGATAATACTATGAAATATTATTAGCTTATATTATTTAAGGAATATTTTTTTGTTCCCAACTGTGATTATTATTATCGTTGAGAAACTGATTAAGAGGTTCTTGTTATGCGTGCGTGTTAATACTTAATCCTTCGCAAAGAGACTCGAAGTTCAGTTCATTATAATTACTCATACTATAATGATGATATGAAATACTGGTACAAGTTTAGAATTCCTAAGTATGTTCTCGAATAAATAAATAATTAATATGATCTACATCATTGTAATTAAATTATGTAAATCAGTGTAAGTTATAATACGGAAAATCTACATCACATTTATTTTATTATTAATTATTACGTAATAGAAAGAGAGAAACTTAGAAGTGACATCGAAATGAATTATTCCTCATTGATAAGCAATAGTCGAATTTAAAATAATGTACTAAATATTATTCTTCTATTACTTACTATTATGTAACGTTCGATAAAAAGCGTGTAAATATCGCCAAAACAAAATTCTGCGTCTTCACCAATGAATAATCAAAATATATAATAAACAATTATAATATGAAATAATTGAAATAACTAATATAAATTCATTAAAATACATAACATAAAATAATCAAAATACATAATACAAACTAATTAAAATAAATAATATAAAATAATTGAAATAAATGGCATGAAATAATTAAAGCAAAAGAATATAAAACAATTAAAATAAATTATGAAACATTATTTCTCTATGAGCATTAATCACACCCACGAAGAGGAACACAGAACCAGCGACAAAAAGACTTGCTCCCTTTCTAAGTGAATGATTAAAGTCCAGATAAAATAATAAACATTATTGTTCCATCAGAAACTATCATGCCTCAAGAAAAAATCACAAAAATAACATCAAAGCGGAATTCCCTCTTTAAAATGATTAACGTCGAAGTAATTGCGAGAGGTATCACGAGGCAAGGGGTTAAAGAATTCATTAGCAGCGTTTAACAGGATGATTAAATCATCGATCAAAGCCGATCGCCAGCATCATCGAAGGAAAGCGACGGATCAGAAATGAAAATGCATGTGTCGGTGGATCACTGTGATGATCATTATTATTATTTCCCTGTGTGAAAGGTATAACCTCGGTGCTCGTGCGCGCAATAACGGAAATATTAATGCACGTAGCTCGCTCGAACTTTCGACCAGACGCCGTAACGAGCCACGAATCGATCGTGCCTGTTCCCCGTGTCCTGTTCACTTCGATTCACCATGCGTGAAGGCTCTCTGTCGGCTTACGGTACATTGCGGCGTTATTTCGTACGTTGATAACCGGCCGCCGCTTGATTTTCTCGCCGGTGATAGGGCAGGAACGATTTTACTCCAGTTACCTGAAATCGTATCGAACTGGTTATTGCGTGACAATTATTGGGAATTACGGATATGCGGTTATTCAATTGATTTGTGAATTTGTATATTTAATATAAATATGGAAATACGATGTTATCATATAAATATGCGAATATAATATTTTAATATAAACATATAAATAGAATACTTTAATAAATATATAAATATAATATTAGAACATAAATATGTAAATATACTATTCTAATATAAATATGTAATTATAATAGTGTAATATAAATATATAAATATATTCTAGTATAAATATATAATCATATTATTATGATTACATAAAGTCATTACATATTTACAACGAGATTTAATGATAAATTGTGCCAGTAATATTTACGTAATGATAAAGTACGGTGATGATGATAAACTATTCACTGATAATATATGCGCACTACCGATGCAAATGAGTAATGATAGATTTAAAGAGAAATACCTGTTTCTGCAGACTGGAAGGATCTTGTGATTAATTATATTAGCTGTAATCATTAAATTAGAATATACACTTTGTGTTATACAAATCTTTCAGAAGAATAATAATGATAATATATTGAACTTAATAAGTTTAATTAAGTTTCTTCTCACTCTTCTCTTAATTAAGTTTCTTGCAGAAAAACGTTTTTCAAGGAAATATCTCATCGTATCAAGAAACGAATGAACTGCAGTTATCAGTTCTAACTGGTTTGCCGCGATATAAATGTTATCCAACGTTTTTCAAGCTTTTATCATACAGCAGCTATCTACTAATCTCTTAAAAAGGCAGTGATAAGAGTATATACAATAAAAAATTGATTTATAAAATACACTCTCTCGACTCTAACTGTAAGATAGCTGTAATTAATTAACTACTTAATAGAAGCAACTTTCCAACCTTGATCAATTATATTCCCAAACTGTCCTTAATACTAAATAGAATGACAGTATATTAACCGAATAAAAAAAAGTTGAAATACACAATTCGATAAACAATGAATATTGACAGTTTGTTATAAAACGAAATAATAAACCATGAAATCACAGTTGCATATAATTTCAAACACATCCTTAAATGATATTACAAATATTTCTTGTGTCCACGGAAAGTTACTAACAAAGTAGTGAAAACTATGGGGATCCGTCAGTGTCATAACTGATTTCCAGACAACAAGACATTCATCTCGTCGGATTTCATGCGAACAAATTAGCCGCAGAAGTTGCAATTTCAGTGGCCTTGAGATGACTCGACGATAAAAGATAAAGGATAAAGAAACCGGCGAAGAAATATAGAGATAGGTAAGATAAAACGAAGACTCGTTAAAGCAATATCCTTGGAAGAAAAATTTCCTCATGATCTCTCATCATGCTTCGCTTGTTCCAACTCTATTAACTAATACAACAATCCGAGAAAATCGAAGTAACAATTATAGTCACTGACCAGGTGAATATTCCTTTACAACCAGGCGGACAGTGGAGATAATAAGAAAAAAATCGGACACAACACAATCATCAATTAAGTCCGATGGAAACGAGCAGCTTCGCTGAACAGTTCTGCGAATGGGAGAATAAACAAAAACGTGCCAACTAGCGGACGCCCTGGAAAATATACAGCGCATGATGAAGCAACGTGTAAATCGAGAAAAATAAGAATGCCTCAAGCTCGAAGGCACGGAATAATTGAGGATGAGTAGACAAAATGTGGAGAATTATTGAGCCTAATTCGTTTGCATTTGAATAGTGATGCTTGTTTTTACTTACAGATTAATTCGAAACTCTCAGCAGAGAGTAATGAATCTACACTTGAAATTTAGATAAAGTATTATTGCTGTTTTATCGTAGAATGCTATAGAATGCATTTGTTTACGACAAAAAGTTTTGAAATTTTAATTTTCTACTTACGTGTAGAATACAATTCTCATAATGATTATTATTGTTAAATGGAAGTTGTTTTAGTTCTATCGTTATTTATTATTTAATAGATAACAGATAGATAGATAAATGATATATCTAATGATTTTTCGTTCAATTATTGTAAATTTATATTGGTGTAAGAGAATA